AAGTGATCGACAAGCTGCATATTTAATTAGTAAATCCATTTGACCCCCCTGATTCCGGAAATGACCAGTGACTGTTACGCGGTAATGTTCGGCGCAGAATCGCACTTGCGATAAAAAAAATCGAATTTCATGAATATAATAAGGTGTTGTGAAGTGAAAATGAATAGTGGTACTCTTGAATCGGAAATATTGCATTTCTTATTTATAATTCCCCGAATCCATGTTGTAGTCTCGAAACTACCTGATCTAGTTCTCTTACGGGAAATAATCTTTTACAAAGTCAAGTTTTGCATCAAAATTTTTTCGATCAAAATCATGTGACTTGAAATTAACTATATATATGAGAAAAAAGTATGGTGTTATGGCTTACAACTTTTCTTAATCGAACCAAAATTTGCTCATGGAAAAAGTTTCAGGATCCGATTATTTTTATAAGACTGAACCGTCTGAATGGTCGCTTGTCGGTTTCTTAAAATGGAGATCCAAAACGTCGCAAATATTAAACCACAACGAAGAACATAGTGGCTTTTAATACTTTTGTCCGGAACATTGTCAACAACGACAAAGATAACGTACGCGTACGAAAGGCGCTAGAATTATTTGAAAATTGGCAGGTATGTAATATTTCCACACTGACTCGTTGACGGGCCAAGAGCCCTGCTCTCATTGCCTTTTATGGATCCGCTGAGTTCCGGCATGATTGGCACAATTGTCCGCTGAGTCAATTGGGGCTTTTGGTAGGTCCGCTGAGTCTATTGCTGTAACACACTGGTGTGTCCGCCGAGTCGCCCAGTGTTGAGTCGCTGAGCTCGTTGCAGTCTGTCGTGTATTGTATCATTGCACATGATGGACGCAATTTGATTTGTAATAATTAACCATTAACGATTGATATGTTCTTGAGTTTCTAGAATATTAAACGTTCTCCCGAAGTTGTGAAGTTCTGGGATGATTATAAGACTCAGAATTTACAACGAGATCTTCAGCACATCAAAGTACAAAATGAAATAAAAACTTTACAGATTGAATCTGAAGACGTAAGTTTTTTTTTACTGTTGTCTGTTTGATGCACTATTTTATTGGAATTTACGATTAATAATCTTCTGTTAGCTAAATTACGTTCTCGACCGAGGCAAGGAGTTGAACATGCACGCTAACACAATTGGAAGCAAAAGACATGAATTCATTTTAAGAAGTCATAAATGTAGCTCCGAAAATTACGAAGGTGAAGTGCTTAATAATGTAGACAAAAAATTTTCTTGCATTCTTTTAAATATCATCAAATATTATAGACGGCCAAAAGTTTCGTTCAATAAACAAAAGTGACGAAGTGATAGAACCTGAACGGCCATGTACACCGGAAGATAAGGCAATTTATTTCCCATCATTTTTTTTATGTACCGCCCACAACAAAAATTCTTCTCATCTTTCCATGTGTACACAGATCCGTACTGTTTCATTCGATGAACATGTGGATGACGAGAGGACCCAAATGGAGAAGGTTAGAGTCTGTGTTCTTTCAGCTACACTACTTATAAGAGATGTTTCTTTTAACTGACTGTGCTTTTACTCTTTTAGGGAGATATAGAAGAGGAGGAAGAAGAGAGTGATGATTTCGAAGAACAGGATGACTATGAGGATGCTTACATAGATATTTCTGGAACCACGGGGGCTCGACTAACGGATGTATCGAGAACGGAATATCAAGAGATGTACGAGAATATGAATGAAGAGCTGAAATGGAGGCTTAAATCGGGACGATGTGTGGAGGATGTCATTTATGAGTTCGGTTGTTTGCATCAGTTTGAAGAGTAAGTTACAATTTCGTTGCAAATTCTTTCATTCTTGTATGATCCATAAATGACGTCTAGAAAATAGCTTGTCGCACTCGTTCATCATCGATTTGGAAGACTGCCAAATTATGGGACTCTTCACAGACGAAGAAAGAGAAGAGATTAAATCTAAAAACATCAAATACGATCCAGAACTCGATGAAGATGTGGTAGCTTGTCTTGACGCGTTTAATAAGGTGCTGTCTGTCACTTGAAAAAACGCCTTTATTGTCCAATTAATTGACCTTTATCTTCCTTATAGACAAATGTGCGTGATATTCGTGAGATGATGGCACAGTTTTCAGTACGTCAAGGTGCTGGATACACTGTTCAAAAGGACTTTTCGACCGATATAATAATTTATGCTATTCATAGTCTGTAAGTGTTGCTAGTGCATGAGAAATATTTTGCATTGATACTGAGCTTGGTTTTATTTGGCAGAGTTCTTCTTTACGAAAGGCAACCAAATGCACTCAGCATTGATCATCTCGAAAACTGGTACAACGTCAATCTCTGGGGCCCTATTGTTGACAAAACTTTCGGAGACATAACAGGAGTGGATATTGTCAGGTGATAGCTTGCACAACTTACTGCTATCTCTAAATTATATTAACTATATGCTTCATCAATATAGGGGGGAATCCTGCAGTATTGCAAGTAGTGACAGAAAAAACAGAAAACGCAAGCGCAAAGACAGAAAAGCACTTGGACGACGTTCTGATGCGATCATCAGAAAGAATACCAATGGTCAGACATTGGAATTCGGAGGTTCGGAAGTAGGGAGGTTCTATAATAGCAAGATGGGGTCTAAATGGCTTGTCGAGAGCGGATTGAAACTGCCAAAAATGCTTCTCGATATGTTTATTGCACTCTGTAATCGGGTGAAATGGCGAGCTGATATAATTCAGAAGCTAGAGACCGTTGGGTATATACATGGAGGTACTTTTCCATTCTCTTTTCTGTCATTAATTGTTTGTTATATAGGACGCGTTATGATGCTAATGACATTGGACAATCCGGCTGGATATGTTATGCGCCTTACCAAGAGTGACATCTTCGAGATCCCAGAGAATGTAGAGTCGTTTTCATTGGCCTTAGAACTAATTGGTGCTGTTTGGATGTTCAAGGTTCGTATTTTTCTCAATTCTACTTGCGATTGAGCTTAAGCTAATTTCGAATATCTTTTCAGTTGAGAATTCAAAGAACAATGAAGTTGGTGCAAAATATTCCACTTGACTTAAAAAGGGTTGGATTGATAAACCGCAAAGCGGTAGTTAAAAACCAATTTCCTGCAACATTCACAACACCTCAAAACTCTCAGAAGAAGCTACGTAAGAACACAAATTCGCCAAATCAAAATTAATATTTAACTCGTATATACTACACGTGTAATCAGCAATGTATTCGCAGACAATTTACGTATGCTAAATTACTCAGGTCATATGACGCTGTGACAACTTATCCACCAAAATTTGTTGCAAATTTAAAATATTCTGGTCCCTGTACTCTCAAAATAGTTTACCATGGTACTGCAAAGCATTGGAATAATAAATTTTCTAGTAATAAACGTTTAGAGGCAGTGCCTTATTGCTTAGCAATACATATGTCATATGTGTGCATTACAAAAATGTATTTAAACGTACGAATTTCAAAAGAATGGGGCAATGCGACAATAGATTTGCATATATGATATGCGCCCGCCTATTCACTAGCCAGACTTGATTGATACCATTCCGAAAAATTTATTTTTGAGGGAGGATCGTTTACTGCGCCACATTACTGTGCAGTTAGTGCCCAGGATTTTTATTTTTGAGTAGTTATGGGCCTTCTCCTTTTTAATCATGTGTATCTGTAAATGCTGTATGACCACTTATCAAATAAATAAACACTTTTTCTTTACTATTCATTCAGAAAAAGACATTTCTCGAATTCTGTTAGGCAAAGAAAAAAATCCGAAATCTGATTGGCCGACCATCTCGTGATTTATAGAAACTCGCCAGCGCCTGGAACATTCCTAGAACTATCGAGGAACTAGGGAGATATAAATTTTAGCCAAAGATAATTTAGCCGTCTATGGTGATCGGATCTAATTTAGCCGAATCATACCAAATATTTCACCCTGAACAAGGGCATAATCGAATAAAGGATTTACTAGCATGTAGTCTCACAAATCGGCTAATCGCTAATCAGTAAATCTGTATAAATTTGAATGATGATATTATCTAGTATAAGTTGCTAAAGAATTGCTAGAATTTGCTAAAATGCTATAAATCGTTAAATATGTCAGGAACCCATATTAACAAATCAAGGCCCAATAAATGTATTTATATTATCTTAGACAATATTTTTAATAAATCTGTGCCTAAACCTACTAATCTTCATCCTGGTTATGAAATGAAATATATTAAAAATTATTATGCATATATTGGCTATAGCACTCCTTTTGACTTTGAAAAGGCACTTGAGGCAGAAAAAAATTTGATAATTTATCTATAATTAGATCACATGAAACTCCACAACAATAGGCTGATTGAGTAAGATCAACTTTGCAAATATTAATTAATGAAAAATATAGTAGTTATTATCATGTATTCTGTCTTTTCAGATCATTTGGGCAAGGAGTAACTGAGACATACTATAAGAACTGCACAGGAAAAGAGATTTTGATTAGTTATCATAGGCCTAATGTTCACAATAATAAAATGGCCATTTGCTTTGATTGTTGGAAGTTAATAAAGGTTGATGATATAAAGCTAAAAAAGGAATATTTTAATGAATGGCGCAGATATGGCTATGAAGTCAAACCTGAAAACTTTATGAAATATCATTGGGATAATGAATGTTCTAAAGTAATTATACCAAGTGCTTCGGAGTCAACTTGTATTTCATCTGCTAGGCAAGAAATAATTTCACCAACTTCTTATCAATCATCGAATTGCAAGAGTAATACAAGTGAAATATTTATTTCATCTCAATATGCAAAACAGAAAACTTACTACCATCTATAAACCATCTTAATCAGTTCGCATTAAGATTGAGAGATGAAACAAAAATCACAATTGTTTAACCAGTTTAACAGTTAATTATAGACTAATATTATTTAGCCAAAGGTATAATTTATTCTTTATTTTTTTGCAAAATGAATAGTTATGCTATATAATTTGCATGCATGATCACTTAGTATAATTGTGAAATATATCATCTACAGGATAAAAAACCTGATTTACCTATTCTGAGTTAAATCCTCAACAATATACTGTATAATTATTTTAATAAAGTATTTTTCGAGAAAGATCCCCGTATTAATAAAATAATATACTGTTCAGCTATGCAAAACACCTCAAGGCTAATGCATGAAGGCATGTGCGATATAAATTAACACGTTTTCAATATTCATTAAAATATATACCATTGAGATCTTTAATGCACATTTCGCATGCTCTTATTCTCAAAAAAATTTTTAGCATAAAGTGCTTTACATATTTCTCTTATCTTTTTTTCAAACATGAATGTGAGTTAGAGAAGACATGAATGAAGAAGTCATTAGATATTTAAAAAGGCAGGTGTATTAAATTTGAGTTATTTGTCGCTTATTTTTTTTTTTAGCGAAATTCTAACACTATACTTTTTCATCATTATGTCTTCTTCTGCTGAAAATATTTATAATTTTTTACTTGATTCATCCTCAGATCATATTATCGCATTTTCTGTTATTTTTCAACTAATAGCAGATGATACGTGGTATTCAAAAGATAAGTTAAGAAAAATAATTCATCAGGCAATTATAGTAGTAAAAAAGAATTACAATCAGACTTCAAAAAAATATCTGAAACTTGTTGATATTCCCTTGAAGGTTAGTGATGATTATTATTATTTATCAGATTTATAATCTCAGATAATGATTGCGTAGAATGATATTTTTATAATCATATTAAGTGAGTACCTATAGCCATGTAGGTACAGGTTTAATCGTATACATTAGTTATAGTTTATGAAGAAAAAAAATATAGCATTCATATACATTGTCAATTGTATGCAGACCATATATAGTTGATGATTTACTTGGAATATGTTGATGAATATGCGCACATGATTCTAATATCAAAAGATTAATTACATTAATACTAATATAAGGCTTCTGCGCTAGTTTGATGATGTATATGAAGGTGTAAGTAGTCTTTGAAGTATCAAAGAATCAAAATAGGAATAACCGCTTACTAAGAACGAAATTGAGATGAACTTGCGTGTATTGAAAACCAATCTTAAAAATAGCAAGGCTCTGTATGCCCACTACTTCCGTAAATATTTAAAGGAAAAAAGTGCTTTAGACTTATCATAACGCATTCTATTTGCTAGTCAAGTAATTTGTGCAGATTCAGAAATGGTAAGAACTAAAGCTTCGCATAAGCCGGCTTGGCTTGGATTGCCACCGGTTTGAGCTGAGCCACTTTTTTTTTAGCTCAGCTTAGCTCAGATCGTAGAGATCAATTGACAAGCCAAGCTAAGCCAAGCTGGCTCGTTCGGCTTGCATTTATATTTAGAAATGAAAAATCGTCGAGAGAAACGTTTCTCATCAAGAGATGCGTTTTCAAAATGATTTCCTTTGAGAGGAACATTTTCAGAGTGTTTTCTATTAAGGAATTCGCTTCCAGAGCATTTTCTTTAAAAGAATTCGCTTCTGAAGCGATTTCCTTGAAGGATTTCATTTCCAGAATGATTTCCTTGAAGGATTTTATTTCCAGAACGATTTCTTTGAAGGATTCGCTTCTGGAGTGTTTTCCATAAAGGATTTTGCTTCTGGAGCATTTTTCATAAAGGAATTCACTTTTGAAGCAATTTCCTTGAAGGATTTCGCTTTTGGAGTATTTTCCTTGAAGAATTTTTTTTCAAAGCATTTTCCTTGAAGGATTTCGCTTCTAGAGCGATTTTCTTGAAGGATTTCGCTTCCAAAGCATTTTCCTTGAAGGATTTTTTTTCAGAGCATTTTCCTTGAAGGATTTCGCTTCCAGAGCAATTTCCTTGAAGGATTTCGCTTCCAAAGCATTTTTCTTGAAGGATTTCACTTCCGAAGCATTTTCCTTGAAGGATTTCACTTCCAGAGCGTTTTCCTTGAAGAATTTCACTTCCAAAGCGTTTTTCTTAAAAAAAACGTGACCAGTGCCATTTCTTTATTCAAGTGAAAAATATTTAATTATTTAACATTGTGATACTAAATTTATATTGATAAATGAATTTAT